TATTTGGTTCCCCTATATTCCTGCTATAAGTGAAACCATCCGATTTTTTTTTTTCTTTTTCCCCCCTGGCTTATTTCACTGAGCATAATTCCTTCTAGCTCCATCCATGTTGCTGCGAATGGCATGAGTTTATCTTTTTGATTGCTGAATAATATTCCACTGTATATGTATACCACATCTTCTTGATCCAGTCATCTATTTTTGGGCATCTGGGTTGTTTCCAGGTTTTACATATTGTAAATAGTGTTGCAATAAACATAGGGGTACAGGTGTTCTTTTGAATCAATGTTTTTGTGTCCTTTGGGTAGATCCCTAGTAGTGGAATTGTCAGGTCATATGGTAGATCCATTTTTAGTAGACTGAGGAACCTCCAGACAGCTTTCCATAGTGGTTTGCAGTCCCACCAGCAATGTAGGAGAGTTCCTTTGTCACCACATCCTCACCAACATTTGTTGTTGCTCTTTTTTTTTTAATTTTTTTTTGATATGTGCCATTCTTACTGGTGTAAGGTGGTATCTCAATGTGGTTTTGATTTGCATTTACCTGATGATAAGGGATGTTGAACATTTTTTCATATGCCTGTTGGCCATTTGCATTTCCTCTTTAGAGAAATGTCTTTTAGGTTCTTCTGCCCATTTCTTGACTGGATTGTTCATTTTGTGTTTGTTGAGTCCTCTGAGTTCTTTGTATATCTTTGTGATCAGTCCCTTATCAGTTGACTGGGGTGCAAAGATTTTTTCACAGTCAGTGGGTTGTCTCTTTGTTTTGGTTAATGTCTCTTTCGCTGTGAAGAAATATTCCAGTTTGATGTAATCCCGGGTGTTTATCTTTTCCTTGACTTTCTTTGCTTTGTGTGATGAGTCTTTAAAGATGTTAACTGATGTATATCTTGTGTGTTTTACGTATATTTTCTTCTATGTATTTTATGGTTTCAGGTCTTATATCCAGTTCTTTTATCCATTTTAAGTTGATTTTTGTGCACAGTGAGTGATAGTGGTCTAGTTTCATTTTTTTGCATGTGGTGGTCCAGTTTTCCCAACTCCGTTTATTGATAAGTACTTTAAATAAATCCCGGGCCTCCCCTGGTGGCGCAGCAGTTGAACACTGGGTTGCGAAGCTGCCCGCAGCCTCTGCAGCGCCGGTTTGATCCCTGGCTGCTCCACGGCCACCGGAGGAGGGTCCTGCATGGTGCGCAGACCTCTCCTGCCGCCTGCTGCTCCCCTCAGCAGTGTACGTTGGTCCTTCTGCCTGCTGTGCTCCTCACTCTGGTTCTGGTGAATTCTCTCACCCTCCCGCACTTCTGACTGTACCCAGTGCTTGTATAAATAAATAAATAAATAAATAAAAATAAATAAATCTTATATATATATGTATATATATATCCCAATCCCTTGGTGCTTATAATTTTCCTACCTAAATATCTGCTAACGTTTGTTTGGTGTTCACATTTAGGTTACCTCTTTTTTTTCTCCTGAAGTTTTTGATATTCTGTGCTTGTCATTAGTTTTCAACAGCTTTATTATAGTGTGTCTTGTTATGAATTGGTCTTGTACTATTTTTGGTTGGACTCACTGGACCTCTTAGATAGCAATATCTAGTTCATTTCCCAGATTGAGATTATTTTCACTAGCTATTTCTTTAAATAAATTGTCTGGATTTTTCTTTTTCTTCTCTGGGACCCCCATTATGTGGGAATTATGTTCTATTTGTGTGTTCTTCAAAATTGTGTTTTTCATCTCATTAATTCTCTCCATTGTTTCTTTTTGTCTGCTCTTGGGGCCCTCATCTGTATTTTTGAATTGGCTAGTATTTATTTATTTATTTATTTATTTTTAAAGATATTTATTTATACAAGCACTGGGTACAGTGAGAAGCGCGGGAGGGTGAAAGAATTCACTAGAATCAGAGTGGAGACCAGAACAGGCAGATTGATGAAGTACACTGCTGAGGGGAGCAGCGGGGGGCAGGAGAGGTCTGTGCGCCATGTGGGACCTTCACCTGGTGGCCAGGGATCGAACCGGTGCTGCAGAGGCTGCAGGCAGCTTCGCAACCCAGTGCTCAACCGCTGTGCCACTGGGGAGGCCCTGGCTAGTATTTCTTAACTTCATTATTTCTAATCGAAAGTGCCTCATATTTTACTTCATTATATATATATATTTTTTCTTTTTACATTCTAAAAACATTGTTAAGCAGTTACCTTGAAGTCCTGTCATCTTTTGTAGTTCTGATGGGTTAGGGCACCTCTAAGGTTTTTATTTGTTCAGCATTTGTAGTGTGTTCTTTTGTCTTCTAATTTTACATTCTTTATGGGATGTAATAGGAATAGATTTTCAGATTGTCCTCTTTGCACTTATTACAGTAATCTGAGGACTGGCACTGGCAGTGTAGAAGAGGACTAGGGTAGTAGGGCACCAAAGGATCACCTTCAGTAAGTTTAAGAATTTCAAGTTTCTATAGTATTTTGGGTGTTAGAACTGTGTGGTGAGTGTCCTTGGCTATGCCCTTCTCAAGACCAGGTCCTCAGCCTTAGTGTCTCTTATAGTGTCTTGTCTACTTCCTCTTTAGGCTATTTTAAATTGCTAGATGCCACACTTGGCATGGATTGCAGTTGGTATGAGGTCATGGACTAGGGGTTGTTTTCTTTCCCAGGACAGAGACTTATCCTGTCATGTTTGCTCATATTGTTGACAGGAGCTTAAACTCTATATAGTTTGTTGAAGTGGTTTTGTTTTGTTTTAGCTCTGGAATTGGGGGTTGGCAACTGTTTGAATTAGTTCATCCCAGGCATTGAGCAGGAGAGTCTATGAGATGCTCTGACCCGGTTCTTTGGGCTTATTCATGTTCTGGCTATTCCATATAAGAGCCTAAGATCCATTTTTGTATTTTGAGGATCCTCCACTCTGCTTTCCATACTGGCTAGACCAGTTTGCAATCCCATAGCAGTGTAAATGGTTTCCTTTTTCTCCATCTTAGCCAGCATTTGTTGTTGCCTTTTTTTTTTTCAATATGGGCCATTCTCACTGGTGTGAGGTGGTATCTTACTGTGGTTTTGATTTGCAATTCCCTGATTCTAAGTGATGTTGAAGATTTTTTCATGTCCTTGTTAGCCATTTGTATTTCTTCTTTGGAGAAGTGTCTTTTTAGCTCTTCCCATTTTTTGACTGTGTGGTTTTCTTATTTTTTCTTAACTTGTGTAGTAGACTTATTGTAGAATTTTGACATCAGTCCCTTATCAGTTGTATGGCGTACAAATATTTTCTCCCATTCAGTGGGGTTTCTCTTCGTTTTGGTTACCTTCTCTTTTGCTGTACAGATGCTTTTTAGTTTGATATAGTTCCAGCTGTTTATCTTGTCCTTCATTTTCTTTGCATTTAGAAATGAGTCCTCTTAAATGTTTCTAAGAGCATTTTGCCTATGTTTTCTTCTATATGTTTTATGTTTCCAGTAATTTCACCCTTGGAATTTACCCAAGGACACAAAAATACTAATTTGAAAAGAAACCTGCACTCCTATGTTATTGCAGCACTATTTACAATAACTAAGATATTGAAATCAACTAAATACTCCAGAACAGATGACTGGATCAGGAAGATGTGGTATATATACACAATGGAATACTACTCAGTGATCAGAAAAGATATACTATTTGCAGCAACATGGATGAAGCTGTAAGGGATTATGTGGGTGAAATAAGTCAGAAGGAAAAAGAAAAATATTGAATGGTTTCACTTATAGTTGGGATATAGGGAAACTTAACAAAGGGTCAGGAAAAAGACAAAACTTGCAGGCAGACCATAGATCTGAGGCATACAGCAGGGGAGGGTGAGGGAGAGGGGTCAAAGGTGGGAGGAAAGAACATAAGGGACTATGGTGATAGTTCACTAGTGCTGTGGTGATTAGAATATTATGGAGACTACATCTGATGGGGGAAATCTAATAGTGTACAAAAATGAAAAACAATGTAAGATAAAAGATTTAATCAATTAATTAATTTTTAAAAAGAGCCTCAGGGGGCTCCCTGGTGGCGCAGGTGGTTGAGCGTCGCGCTGTGAAGCTGTTCCCAGCCTCTGCAGTGTGAGTTCAATCCCGGCCATCCTGCAAGAATCCCCAATGGCGAAGCAGACCTCTCCTGTCTCGCCCACTGCTCCCCTCAGCAGTGTATTTGGTCATTCTGCCTTTTCTGTTCCCTGCTCTGTCTCTGGTGAATCCTCTCACCTTCCTGGGCATCTGGCCTGTACCCCAACACTTGTATAAATAAAAAATAAAAAAATCTTAAAAAAAAGAGCCTTAGGCTCAAGCCAGCAATCTGAGGTCTGTGGCCCCAGCTGTATGTGGCTCTTCAAACAGCTGCCTCCTCCCTTTTGTGATTTATATTGCCCTGTTATCACTATACATAAAGTTTCTACTGTTTTCTGCCAGACTGTTGCTCCTGCTGTGTGCTGTGGTGGTGTAGTGGTGTATTTTTTTCCTGAAGAGTTTTTGGCTTTGTTTTACTGCAATTTATTTGTGGGTATCTGAAGGGTGTGAACCCAGAATCTTCACTCTGCTACCACCTCATTGGACTCCAGATTATCCACTTTAGGGCTAATTATTTCTTTTGGTTATTGCTACTGAATGTACAATATTTTTAAAGAGGTTGTTAACTTCTTCATTGTTTTCTCTATCTAGTAATGAATGAAAGATATCTTCATATGTTTTGGAAGCAAGCAAAATGTAGTAACCTTCAGTTATATTTATATAATCTCTTTTTGCAAAAAAATGGAATGGCGATGTATAAACTACTTGATTTATTGTACTGGCTTTGGGGAATTGGAAAACCTACAATTTAGGATTAGTTTAGTAACTGCTTTAACCATATATAAAAACTGGTGAATCTGCTCTAGAATGAATTTTTCTTAATTGTTTAAAGATTCAAAGTTATATTTAGTAGAAAAGATAAACAAACGTGAAACAATTTTGTTCTCCTTAGTATTTTACTTTTTTTTTCTTGCAAAAAACAGATAAATGGAAATGCTGCACAGTTTGGTGAAGTATATGAATTGAAAGAGGATATTGGTGTTGGCTCCTATTCTGTTTGCAAGAGATGCATACATACAGCTACCCACATGGAATTTGCAGTGAAGGTATTTTCTCTGTCTAACTTTTTTTTTTTGTCTTATATATGTAAGTTAATTGCACATTGAGACATTTAAGTAGAGCAAGTGGATATAGCAGAGCTAATATGATCTGAAAGAGCTCTTGAGATTTAATATTTTCAGTTTGAATTTCTTTTCAAGACTATTTCAGAGGGATGGTGTTTTTCATGAATGTCCTGTTTTCAAACAATTTTATTTTAGTGTAGTATGTTAAAATCGAGCAGTTGTGACACTTGCTATCACATTTGGATCACATAAAATGTTAAGGAGAGTACTGTATTTTAAATTAATTTTCAGTTATAGGAAATTTTTAAATGTTAAAATAATATGACAGTTACCACTCTTGAATTTTAAATATTTGCTTAAAAATATAACCAAATTGCAAATAGTCCATTTATTTTGAGATTACAAAATCATAATTTGTTTTCCTCTGAGATTTTTCTTATCTTACTTCTTAGATCATTGACAAAAGTAAGAGAGATCCCTCAGAAGAAATTGAAATTTTGATGCGTTATGGACAACATCCCAATATTATTTCTCTAAAGGATGTAGGTATTTAAACATCTCTGTATCAACTAACCTAGTTATGACTTAGCTATATTTTTTATTGAAACTTTTTCTGTTCATGGTAAATTTACTTTTAAGCCACAAAATCTCAAGACTCCTAAATTTGTCACTTTTTTTTCCCATTATGATTCTACTCCTACCTTTTTTATAACTTCTAAAAGGAACTATGATTGTTGGTAAATGCAGGTTTCCTGAAGTCTTGAGTATATATTGGCTGGCTAACTAGTTAACATTATAACCAGAAGCATTTATTTATTTATTTTAAAGATTTATTTATTTATACAAGAACTGGGGTACAGGCCGGAGGCATGGGAGAGTGAGAGAATTCACCAGAGACAGAGCAGGGAGCAGAACAGGCAGACAGACCAAAAACACTGCTGAGGGGAGCAGCAGGCAAGACAGGAGAGGTCTGCCACGCAATCTGGGTGTCTCCCTGGCCGGCTGGGAATCAAACCCGCGCTGCAGAGGCTGTAAACAGCTTCACAGCACTGCACTCAACCCACTGTGCCACACGGGAGGTCCCTAACCAGAAGCATTTATTATTCTTTAATGCTATAAACAATAGAAGATAAAGGAGATTGGGAATTGCCAGATTCTGTAAAATTTTACTTTCTCAATTGTATGCTAATTGGCTATAGCATTATGGATTACTCCTTGAATGAAATAGCATTAATCTGTAGTTTTTTAAAATGAACATATAAGTCATGTTAATAAATATTACAGAATGTTGACATTTCATGTGAGAAAATAATGATCTTTTCTCTATAGAGAAGAATATTAATCCTCAGCATGATAATTTTATTTCTGATAATATATGCATTTTGATTTAAATCTTTAAACAGTACTCTGTGTGTATCTCTGAGTAAAAGAGTATAAATATTTTTATTTTTTATATTTAGTTTTTTTAATGAAGTACTTTGTAATATTTTTAAAGTATCGAATTTCTCCCCTCAGTTGTGGTCACTGTAGCTCTCCCACCACCAAAGTACCCATAATCCTCTAACATAATCCATTGTGCTCTCTTCATCCCACCACAGTAGTGTTTTGTTTTGTTTAAGATTAATTTACCGTCAGTGGGAGAACTGTGGTAACACACCTGAGGGGAGAAATTATTTACAGTCCAAAATTAACAATGATGTAAGAGAAAGGTGCTTCATTTAAAAATAAATTAATCTGAAATACACATTTTTATTTATTCTTCTTAATATAGTATTTGTTTTTTTTCAACTTTTTTTAAAGATTGATTTATTTATGCATACAAGAGCTGGGGTACAGGCCAGAGATGGCGGGGCGGGGGAGAGGATTCACCAGAGACAGACTGGGGAACAGAACAGGCAGACTGACTGAAATACACTGCTGAGGGGAGCAGCGGGCAAGTCAGGAGAGGTCTGCTGTGCCATGTCGGTTGCTCCCTGGCTGGGTGGGGAATGAACTCAAGCTGCAGAGGCTGCAGATTGCTCATAGTGCGGTGCTTAACTCCGTGCACCACCGGGGAGGCCCTTAATATAGTATTTGAAGTCAACAAATACTTGAGTATCATGTCAGGCAGTGAACTGTGTGGAGGATATTTGTCTGTGACATTGAAAATATCCATTATATGGGGCTTTCCTGGTGGCGCAGTGGTTGAGTGCTGGGTTTCGAAGCTGCCCGCGGCCTCTGCGGCGCCGGTTCAATCCCCAGCTGCTCCCCGGCCACCGGAGGAGGGTCCCACATGGCGTGCAAACCTCTCCTGACGCCTGCTGCTCCCCTCAGCAGTGTACTTTGGTCCTTCTGCCTGCTCTGCTCCCCACTCTGGCTCTGGTGAATTCTCTCACCCTCCCGCGCTTCTGACTGTACCCAGTGTATGTATAAATAAAACAAACAAACAAACAAATAAATAAATAAATCAAACATGCCTCTATAAAAAAAAAGGAAAATATCCATTTTTTTCTTCAAATGTTATTGATTTGCTCATCACTTATATAACTATAATTTTGGGAGTAGAGTTTCACACCTAGATATATCCATATTCTTTATTCCTCCTCCAGCAAAGCTCCAGTGTCAATATTCTATTCCCCTCTCCCTTTCCCCAAACTTTGTGGTAGGTATCCAGTATATTTTCACAGAGTCTCAGAATTATTTTTGCTGTGCTTTGTTTGAAGGGTATTAAAATACATAATTGCAGCCAGAAGGAAACTTACTTTTAGGGAAGAAAAATGGCTATCATATAGTACAAAATGAGATAGATGCCAATTGAAAGCATAGAATCCTATTTTTCCATTTATATCCTTTCATGAATTATAATGCAAAACTTCCCAGAAGTTAAAATTTTATGTTTACATAATCTCACAGGATGTGTAGGAAGTTGTTTACCCGGTTCATTCTTCAGTACAGCCTGTACTGCATTAACAATAAAGGAGTACTTAAAGCAATGGAAAGTTTAATGCAGGAATATAGGAGAGGAATCAAAGGTGACCAGTATTACAAGTCATAATGAATCAATACTTATAGTGATGTTCACAGACACAGGGAAGTTAATTTGAAGGGAACATAACAAAACTGACTTTGGGTTGATGATTAATACTGTGGAATTAATGTCTTTTTTAACACTAGAGGTTCACTGGAAAAATGAAGTAAATATAATTTAAATATTTCATAACTGTAATAAATTATAAATAATAATAAATAATAAATTATAAATAATAATGTGTTTAAATATGTATTCCTTTTTTAGGTTTATGATGATGGTAGATATGTTTACCTTGTTACGGATTTAATGAAAGGAGGAGAGCTACTTGACCGTATTCTGAAACAAAAATGTTTCACAGAACGGGAAGCAAGTGATGTACTGTTTGTAATAACTAAGACAGTTGACTATCTTCATTGTCAAGGAGTAAGTTTTAGTTATATTTGTCCCTTAATTCTGTGACATATACCTTCATAAAATTATATATAAATGATGCCACCTACAATGAATTACTTTTTGTATCCTCATGTATTTTATAGAGAACATCCAAATAAATCTCAATATAGGGAAGGCTATAGATATAACTATTTAGTTAACACTGTTTTTATTCTCTTCTTTATATGTTGGCACTGATGTAATAGCATATTAGTTACATGCCATTTATATTTCAAAAGGCCTGTATTGATTTTGGGGCTCCCTCCTTTAATCCTGGGTTAATAACTCAGCACAGCAAGGTCATTACAGGCTTTGAATTGACAACTGAGAGTATTAAATTACTGACCTGTTATATAAGAGTTCTGGGGTACTCTTAAGTAAGATAAAGGGGTTACAGCTAATGAAGTGCAAGCCCAGCAGTGTTACTTCTTAACAATATTATTTTTAAATCCTCTGTTTCCAAAAGCCTATTCTGGGACAAGGAACGGTCCCATGCCAGAGAAATTAGATTAGTACTGCAACAAAGTCTTCTTTAAATATTTTTTCAGGCTTTTATTTTGTTGTGGAAATTTTGTTGTTTGAAAAGAAAGGGATACAACATTACTGTCACCACGTTTTTTTCTTAAAAAAAAAAAACAAACAGTTTTTTTCCTTTCAAAATCGTGGGAGGTCCACTGCAGACCACATCAGAACAGTATAGGAATTATCAATACTATTTTATTTATTCTTGCCCCCTACCTTAGCCCCCCACCCCTACCCAATTTTTTTATTTTCTGGATATTTGTCCCCATCACCATTGATTATACCCTTCTCACCCTTACAGCTTGACCCACCCTTCCTCTTAAGCTCAGAAACCTTTGCTTTTTAGTGTCTGCTAGTTTTTATAAGTATTTAGCTTTATTTGAAGCATCTGCTATATAAACGTCCAATATTTGTCTTTGTCATTATGAGTTATTTTACTACACATAATTCCCTCAAATTACTTTCATTTTGCTTTAAATGCCAATATTTTTGTTTCCTTAAAGATAAATAATTTTCTGTTGTGTGTATATATCACATTTTCTTAAGCCAGTCATATATCAGTGGAGATTTAGATTGTGTTCATGTCCTAGTCACTATAAATAATGCTGGAGTAAACATTTTCAGCATATAACTTATTGAATTGATGGTTTCATATTCTTTGCATAGATTCCCCCAAATGGGATTGATGTGCCATCATATTTCCATTTTTAGACTTTTAAAGTAAATCCAGATTTCTTTCCACTATGGCTGCACCAGTTTACATTTCTGACAATATGATAGGGTTCAACTTCCTTTGCATTCTCTATAGCAAATGTTATTGGCAGACTTCTTTTTAATATGTGCGGTTCTCACAGGTGTGAGATGAAATCTTATTGTGATTTTTAACTTGCATCTACCTTATTAAATGTGATGATAAACATTTTCCTATATATCGAATGGACTATTGACTATTCTTTTTGGCAAACTGTTCAGATCTACTATCCATTTATTAATTGGGCTTTTTTTAATTGTTAATTTGAAGATGATTTTTGTGTACATCAGTTATTTATCCCTTGTCTGTAGTGCAATGCATGAATATTTTCTCCCAGTCAGTATAATGTCCTACATTTTCTTTTACTGTGTAAAAGTTTTTTTTTTTTTTTTTATGGAAGTATTTTCCATTGTTTATTTTTGTTTTTATTTCCCTTGTCATAGGGGTGTATCTCCAAATATCATCTTTATCACTGATGTCATGAATGTATTGCCATTGTTTTCTTCTATGTTTGTTGTTGCATTTTCTATGTAAGTTTTTAATCCATTTAGAATTTATTTTTAAATATTTTATTGAGTTATATTGGTTTCATCATTTCCATTATAGAACTGTAGGATCCCCCATCCCCACCTCAGAATTTATTTTGTATTTGGAGTAAGAGAATGATCCAAGTTGACTTTTATATGTGGCCATCTAGTTTAACTAGCACCACTTGCTAAAAATACTTTATCTTTTGTATGGTGGTAGCTCCTTGATCACTAATATATGTGTGCATTTATTTCTGAACTTTTGATTCTGTTCCATTGATTCATGTGATCTCTTTTTCTTCCAATATCAAGTTGTTTTAATTACTGTTGCTTTATAATATAGCTGAAGGACAGGTAATATGGTTCCTCAATTTATTTTTCTCAGGATTCCTTTAGATATTCGACATGTTTTAAAGTTTCATGTAAATGTTAATATTTTTGTTCTATTTCTGTGAAGAATATTATTGGAATTATTAAATCTATATGTTGCTTTTAGTAGAATAGTCATTTTGACTATATTGATACTTGTTTCCATGTATATTGTATACCTTCTTTACTTTGTTGGTTAGGTTTATTCCTAACTCTTTAATTCTTTTCAATGCCATTGTGAATTGAACTATTTTCTTTATTTCTCTTTCTTCTTGTTCATTATGTGAGTATAAAATGAAACATATTTTTGCATATTGATTTTGTAACTTCCCTATTTGCTGTATTCATTTACTGTTTCTAATAGCTTTTTGGTGGAGTCTTTAGTGTTTTCTATATTTTATAACATCTAGCCTGCAAATGATAGTTTCACTTTATATTTTCCAGTCTGGCTTCCACTTATTTCCTATTGTTATCTGGTTGTTCTAGCTAAAATCTCTAATATTGAGTTAAACAGAAATGGTTAGAGTGGGAGTTGTTGTTTAGTTCCTGATCTTAAAGGGAAAAAAAATCTCAGTTTTCACTATTAATATTACGTTGATTGTAGGTTTGTGATGCATGTCCTTTATTATGGTGAGGTAGGTTTCTTATATTCATGTGTAGTTCAGAACTTTTAATATTAATGTATGCTGAATCTTAATAAAGCTTCCTCTGATATCTGTTGATATTATATTTATTTTTCTTTTGTTGATTTGTGTTACAAAGATTGGTTTATGTACGTTACACTATCCTTACATCTGTGGAATGAATTCCACTTGATTACAATGTGTAATCATTCTAGCATTGCTGAATTAGATTTGTTAGTATTTTGTGGAAGATTTCTCCATTAATATTCGTGAGGGGCAGTATCCTTTTCTTGTGCAGTTTTTGTCTGATTTTGGTATTAAAATAATGTTGGTATAATAAAATGTGTTAGAGAGCATTTGCTCTTCAGTTTTTACAAATCAAGATGGGCATAAGTTCTTAGTTAAATGTTTGGTAGAATTCACTTTTACAGCTACCTTGCCTTGAACTTTAATTTTTGGAGACATTACATTTTTGATTATTGTTTCGATTTCCACACCGTGATTGTTTTTTTCAGTACTCCTGTTTTTCCTGATTTAGTCTTGTAAACTATATTCTTTTATGATCCTTTGAATTTCTATGCCATCTATGGTAATTTCTGCTCTTTCCTTTCTAATTGTTTATTGTTTTCTCTCTTCTTTGTTAAATTAAGTGTTGATCAATTTTGTTTGTATTCTTGAATAAACAATTCTTAGTTTCATTTGTCTTTTGTATGGTCTTTATAATTTCACTATACTGTATTTCCACCATTATTTTTATTTACCTCCTTTTACTAATGTTGGGTTTTGTTTGGTTCTCTTTCACAAATTGCTCAAACTGTAATAAGTTGTTTAGTTGGGATTTTCTTGCTTTTTTATCTGTGAATATATGGCAGTTTTCTTCCCTGTGAAGACAGTTTTTGATGCATCCCATGTGTTTTCATATTTTCTTTACTTCATTTGTATTAAGGCATTTTTTTTATTTTAATTACCTCCCTAAACCACGGTATTAAGCGACATGTTGTTTTGTCTCCAGAGTTTTCATGTTTAATAGTTGGTTTTTAACTTTATGGCATTATGGTCAAAAAAAGTACTTAGTATGAGTTCTGTCTTTCTAAATGTATTGACAATTGAATTGTGTTACATCTTACTGTCCATAAATATATTCTTTGTGCACTTGAAAGTAATGTGTCTTCTGATGTTTCTGGGTGAAATATTTTACAGATACCTGCTAAACCTATTGGGTCTAGCTTTTCATTTAAGGCTGCAATTTCTGTATTTATTTTCCATCTTATTGATCAGCCCATAGTTGTTAAGTTGGGTATTAAAATCTCTTAGTTTTATTGTGTAGTTATCAATATCTCTGTAGAGTTCTACTAAAAATTGTCTTAATGTATCTTGATGCTCCTTCATTTGATGCATATATATTTGTTCATTTTATTTCTTCTTGATATATTAGGCCATTAATCATAATGTAATAGACACTTCTATTTCTTATTACCATTTTATTTTGGAAATTTATTTTAGCTAATATAAATATAGCTGTTCCTGACCTTTTTTTGCTTGCCATTTGCTTATAGGATTGTTTTCCAGCCATTCAGTCTGTGCTTATCTTTGGTGGATAAATGAGTTTCTCGTAAACATCAAAAGGTTGGACATTTTTTTTTTTCAAATAAACTTAGCCACTCTATGCCTTTTAATTGTCAAACTCAAGAAATTTGTGTTTTAGGTGATTACTGAAATTTAAGTGCTTATTACCATTTTCTTATTTGCTCAGTTTAAGTTTCTTAGTTTGTCCATTTATTTTTTAATTATATTATTTTTATTGCAGCAATGTTTGTTTATACCCCTATACATGAGTTCCGTATATACATTTACAGCCTTTCCAGAGATATGTTACAAAACTATGCCCATCAAAAAAGCACTCACAATCCTCCACTGCAGTCCACTGGGCCACATTTTCCTGTTTGCTTCCCACACCCACTCTACCCCCTGGAAGCTTCAATTAGTCATATTTTGGGGGCATGTCATACCTTTTTTAAATAGCTGAATAGTATTCAATTGTGTGTATATACATCTTTATTGTCACTCATTGCCATTGGGCACTTAGGTTGTATCCTACCTTGTATATAGTACTGCAGTGAACATAAGAGTACATATATCCCTTCAAATTAGTGTTTTTGGTAGCTACCTAGGAATGGAATTGCTGGATTATGTTGTGAT